ACAGAGATATAAAGCCAGAGAATCTGCTCTTAGGGCTCAAGGGAGAGCTGAAGATTGCTGACTTTGGCTGGTCTGTGCATGCCCCCTCCCTGAGGTATGGTAGGCTGGGAGGCCAGCCCTGTGTGTGAGGCTGGGACATTCTAAATACGACCCCTCCAAATCTTATTACCCAAAGACATTGAGAGTTGTCCTCACACAATAGAGACAGAGCAGTAGTATCTTTACAAAAACAGAAGAGATTTCTCCATCACCTTCTGGCCAGAGGCAGCTAAAGAGAGGACAGCTAGTTGAGGCCCTCCTTTGACATTCTCATACCTACACCCACCTATAGACTCATCCCCTCAGGTCAATCCTCTCCCCTTTATCCCAGTTACCTGTGGGCTGGACATTGGAGCGGCTCATAAGCATAAGTACAGGCCGGGTGACAGGGTCCTTCCTGAGGATTCGCTGGGGTCCTGATTATCACCCTAATTTTCCACTCAATATTTTAGGACTCTTACCATATCACTGAGAATACTCCCACATCATTTCTCATGGCTTCATAGTATTACATAGAAGAGATGTAACTTGATTTATTTAATAGAACATACTTCATGAACATTAGAGTTGTCTCCAGTTTTTTCTTTAATTCCAAGATGAACATTGCCCTCATACCTGATTATTTTATTAAGATATATTCTTCAATGGGTGCCTGTACTCAGTGGTTAAGGTGCCGGCCACATCCTCTGGGGCTGGTGGGTTCAAACCTGGCCCAGGCCTGCTAAACCAAAAAAAAAAAAAATAGCTGGCCATTGTGGTGGGAACCTATGGTCAAAGCTATAGGGAAGCTGAGGCAAAAGAATCATTTGAGCTCAAAAGTTTGAGGTTGCTGTGAGCTGTGACAGTAGGGCACTCTACTGAGGGTGACAAAGGGAGACTCTGTCTCAAAAAAAAAAAACAGATATATTCCTCAGGCTCAGCGGCTGAGGCACCAGCCTCAGAGTTGGCGGGTTCGAATCCAGCCTGGGCCTGCCAAACAACAATGACAACTACCATCAAAAGATAGCTGGGCAGGGGGTGCCTGTGGCTCAAAGGAGTAGGGCGCCAGCCCCATATGCCAGAGGTGACAGGTTCAAACCCAGCCCCGGCCAAAAACTGCAAAAAAAAGAATAGCTGGGCCTTCTGGAGGGCACCTGTAGTCCCCGCTACTTGGGAGGCTGAGACAAGAGAATTGCTTAAGCCCAGGAGTTGGAGGTCTCTGTGAGCTATGATGCCACCGCACCCTACCAAGGGTGACATAGTTAGACTCTGTGTCGGAAAAAAAAATATTCCTCAGTGCAGAGATGCTAGGGCAGCATGTAGACCCATCACTAGGCCTTTGGTAAATATCACCCACCCATCCCCGGTGGCCCTGCTTGGCTGAAACAGTCCCTGGTACATCCTACAGTCTCTTGGCTTCCTGTCGTTGGGCAGCAGGGAAAGGAGAGGCTGTCTGTCCCCGGGACCCCTGCCCAGTCACCTTACCCCATCCAGGAGGAAGACAATGTGTGGCACCCTAGACTACCTGCCCCCAGAGATGATTGAGGGGCGCATGCACAATGAAAAGGTGGATCTGTGGTGCATTGG